ACTGGGTCAACTCTGCATAACTATGTTGGTTTTAAAAAATGGTGTCAACAGACACTACAACAACGGCCTGCACACTTGCTCATATGCCAAAAGTAGAAACAAAAAGGGTTTTGGCTTTTTGGTATATACCAACAGCATCGGTCAATTTGTGTGCATCATCCAAGTTATGAAAAAGAGCACTGTAATACTGTAACTCGTTAAAAGCATAATGATTATATCTTAATAATACAATATCAAATATGAAAGAATATAACAATAATATTTAAAAGGTATAAGAATTACTTTAAAATAGAACAATAGTAATATAAAAAATTATAGTAATAATAAAAAATATTACGATAGAACTCCATGTAATCTTCCTAAACTAGTGGTTAGTGAAGTAGTACTAGGTATACCTATAAAAAAATAGCACAAAATTACAATAATAGTTTGAAAATAGTAAACATACATATATATATATATATGTATTAAAGTAATTAGTATTACTTGCAGGAGTGAATTTCGTAAGACTATGATAATAATTTCATGAGCGCATAATAGTAATTATGAAAGAGCATAATAGTTATTTTTGAAGAGTACAAAAATAATTCCATAGCACTATGTTAGTTCATATATTGCATTATATTATGTTATAAAACATAGATCACATGTTATTATCAAATTCAACACAATCTTCCATTGAATTCAACACATTATATCCATTCATACCGCAGAGCTATGTGTTTTTAGGAGGTAGGTACCATGCTGATTAGGGTTAATTAGCACTGGCTCAGTACTCCTAATTCGTAGGATTACCGTTGATAAAACGGTATAGATTAAAAGCAATGACAAAATTGTAATATAAACTCCCTTCTGTGTCTCTCTCTCTGTCCAATTTCTTCTCTTTTTTTCTTGCGATTTAATTACCGAAGATCATTGCAAATTGAACTGAAAATATCAATCTGGAAGGTGGACGATGATGTCCATGTCAATTCGGAATGATTAAAGAGATATTTTTATTATTATTTTATTACTATTGTGCGCTTTCGAATTTATTATTGTGCTCTTTTGAAATTATTTTTGTACTCTTAAAAAATAATTGTTTAGTCACAATTAATACATAATATATAGACAGTTAGCGAGTAATATATATATTGGCAGCACCATGTATGAATTACAAAAAAAAAAAAAATAACACATTAAGTGTTAAATAAAAACACATGATTGTATTGTATGGAATGCATGTTACGTGCTCAAATCAATTTTAAATTGTGTTTTTTTTTTTTTTTTTAACTATGATGTGTGTTGTTTGTTCTATATTTAACATAATACAAATACAAAATATTAACGGATAACACATGTTATAGTCAAAGGCAACACAATTTAAAGTTGATTTGAGCACATTAAGGGGTGTTTGACAATTAACTAATAGTTGTTAGTTATTAGTTGATTAAACTATATGGAAATATTAGTTATTTGTATTTAAATATTTGTAAAATAATTGTTTGATATTAATTATTTATATATGAAATGACAATTAAAAATATTTGAATATTTTATTTTTAGAATATATATTATGTTAAATATTGATAATTTTATTATTTCCTATATTTCTAAATTGAAATAATTTTAAATTTATATTATTTAAATATACAATTTATATGATAATATATATATAAATAGATTAATAGTATTCATATTTTTTTTTTCTATATTTTATTAAATATATATATACAAATAAAATTATTAATATAAAAGAGAATTAACAAGTTTAATTTCTTGAAACTTATAAAATTAAATTTATAAAATAAATAAAAAATAGATATATTAAAATAATTACTAAATGATGCAACTAACATAAGAAAAAATTAAGATATAATAGTATTATTTTTATGTCATGAGAGTCGAAAAAAAAAACAAAATTTTTTAAAAACTCATGCAGTACAATTCATCTAACAACACAATATTTATATTCTAAAATCATCTATGTCGCTTATTTGACTAAATTGACATAAGACCATAAGTGATATTGTTCTGAATTCTTGGCATCCGTTTGAAAATTGATCTTTCAACATTTTCATACTCGCAATTAACTTCGAAGTCACCACATTCAGTACAAATATCATATGGGACAAATTTAGGATCATCATCCATGCATGAATATAAAAGCTGGATCAAAAATCTTACTTACCCTAATGTAGTTAGCCAAGAAGAAAATTAAAAGGATTAACATATTACAAATACTTTGAAATGTGGCATGTATTGAGAATTGTTGATGATATACGATGGTATTTCGTGGAATTCAGAATCTTTGGGCTTTAATATATCTCTTAAAAGATCATTAATTGCATCTAAAACCCTTTTAAAAAATTTGACTCACAGTTTCTCCGTAATATTGAAATTGCTCTTGCACATTTTTATTTAAAGCGCCTTTACTATATTAGATATTTATAAAAATGAATTTATATACTCTCTTCGTCCCATTGAGAGGTTTCCGTTTATTTTTTGCATCTAAATTTTTTAATATTAATATTATATTGTATTGTATTGTATTGTATTGTATTGTATTGTATTAAAAAAATGATAAAAATACACCTATTAGTATTATATAATATAAAAGTAATGACATTTGTGTAATATATTGTAAATTGGAATTGTATTTATTATATTAGATAGGTAGTACAATTACCCCCTCCGTCCCAGCTAATTTGTCTCATTTAGTTTAGGCACGAAGTTTTAGATATTGTGTAATTATTAAGTAATTAAGAAGTGTATTAGTAAAAATAATTATAATTTAATAAAAATAATTATAGATTAATATTTAAGATGACTAAATAGTTATTAAAATTAAAATAATTATAAATTTTGAATTTTAAAATGTAATTAAAGTGTATAATTATATGTCCCAAAAAGAAAATAACAAAATATATGACACAGACGAAAATAGAATTAAAGAGTTACAAATTAAGTGAGACTGAATGAGTACTTGTAAGATGTGAACTCGTGTCACTCATTAATTAATGATTTAATAAAATATTTAATTATATTAGAATTGGTCTAGTCAAATTAATAGTGGTTTAATAGAACGTGGGATAATGATTTTAATGCAAAGGATTCTGGCCCTCCCTCTGCCTATAAAAGGCCAGAATAAATTTATTCTATCACACACAGAATTTAAACTTATGCATTCTGGCATTGAGGTTAAGAGGGAGAAACCAGAGGATCCAACTCATCGTCCAAATCAGAGGATCCAACTCATCGTCCAAATTAGAGCATCCAACTCATCATCTCAACCAGAGGATCCAACATGTCGTTCTGTATGTGAGAATGGTTTCCAACCAAGGTCAGTATATATACACATTTATATGATTTTGTGAGAATCATAAAGTTCAAGATCTGCGAATTTGAAATCGATTATATTTTGTTTTAAACTTACATGTGATATCAGAGCATGGTTTTGAACTTGTGAATTCTCCAATCAATGGTTAGAATTATGTGAGGATAGATTCTTTTCGCTGCGATCTAAATGTTTAATTTGCGAAAGTTTTAATTATAAATTTATTATTATAATATAATTTAAATAATGATATGTATTTCTGAAAACTTCGTGTATTTGAAAATTAATTTGAAATATGCGATTATTATTATTATTATTATTATTATTATTATTATTATTATTATTATTATTATTATTATTATTATTATTATTATTATTATGTGTATATGTTCCGCGTATATGTATATGTTCTGCGTATATTATTGTTAATTTAAATCATCCAGAATATGTTCTGCATATATGTGTATGCTTTTAATTAAATCATTATCCTTAATGATATTATTTAATAATAATATATTATGAGATTAGTTTATCGACAATTAGTTGAATAAACATCCCACGATTTATGGAATTGGTGATTTATTTGTATAACCGTTATGCATTAAATAAAATAAAGATTAATAATATATCTATTAATAGAATTTGCGCGACCGTTGGATCTGCGTAATATAACTTTGTTTTTCTACTGTATATTATTTAACCGAATAGGGAAGAGGATCACATGCTGACCTTGTATATACTTTCAGCAGTGCTGAATTAGTATATAATTATATATTTATTATTATATTAAATTTTTATAATTAGATATTAATTGAAATTAAGGGATGTGATTAGCTCCAACAGTGCTGAATTATGCATTTCAGCATAGTATCCCTACCGTTTAAATAATACATAATTATTGTTGTAGATTATTTTGATTATATTCAAATATATTATATAATTTAATATTTAAATTAGGAATAATCTGTTAATCACCAAAGTGATCAGATTAGAAAGATATTAAATAAATCTAAATATATTTGAATGTATTATATAATTTAATATTTAAATTATGATTAATCTGTTAATCACCATAGTGATCAGATTAGAAAGATATTTGTGTAGATATTAAATTAAATGCTAACTTTAATTACTTATTATAATGTGACGCTTTTATGACATTATGTTTTAACAACGGGTAAATTAAAGTTCATTAATTATAAAATATTTAAGGATCAACCCAAAGGTAGATCAATTATTTTATAATTGAAAATTTTTAAGTACTTTTATTCAATATGCAACATTATCCAAAGATGACATGCATGTTCAATTAAAGTGCGATTTATTGTGCGAATTATGTTAGCGTCAATTATATTTAATTAATACGTTATTGTTCACCCAAAGGAGAATTATAACGTACATTTATTGTTTTTGCCTTGACTCTGATTTGAAAATCTCAATTATTTTAATTTGCAGTAACTGTACCTGCTTCGCTTCATTCGCATGCATCATCTGTTCCTATGTTTAATGGGCTCAACTATCCTGAATGGTCTGAGCACATTCAATTTCCACTTGGTGTTTTAGGTCTTGACCTACCACTCCATGTTGAAAGCCTTCTGCTATTACTGATACGAGCAACGAATGTGAAAAGTCTTTCTATAATGCTTGGGAGAGATCGAACCGATTAAGTCTGATACTTATGTGGATGAGTATAGCGAACAACATTAAGACTACTCTTCATGAAATCGATGATGCTCAGGAATTTATGAAAGCAGTTGGGGAACGCTCTCAAACTGCAGATAAGTCTCTCGCTGGGACACTAATGGCTACACTAACCACCATAAAGTTTGATGGTTCGCGATCCATTCATGAGCATGTCGTCGAAATGACGAACCTGGCAGCAAGATTGAAAGCTTTAGGGATGACTGTGGATGATAACTTTCTGGTGCAGTTTATCTTGAATTCACTGCCCCCTGAGTATGGTCCATTCCAAATGAACTATAATACCATGAAAGATAAAAGGAATGTGAATGAACTTCACAGTATGCTAGTTCAAGAGGAAACACGGCTTAAAAATCATTGCTCTCATTCAATTCATCTTATTACCAACCAAGGAGCTGGTAGGAGAGTCGGGAATAAAAAAGTGAAGGGCAAGCGCGGACCATTGAAAGTGAATGTGCCGTCTGCCCAAGCCCCGAAGAAGGAACTCAATGATGTCAAGTGTCGCTTTTGTGGAAAATCCAGACACTTTCAAAGAGATTTCCTGAAACGAAAGACTTGGTTCGAAAAGAAAGGTACTAATGCTTTTGTATGTTTCGAATCAAATTTGAATGAAGTTCCTCATAATACTTGGTGGTTTGATTCCGATTGTACCACTCATGTTTCGAAATCCTTGCAGAGATTCCTTACGATCCAAACCACAAAGCCAAATGAAATATTTGTTTTTATGGGAAATCAAGTCAAAGCTCCCGTTGAAGCCGTAGGAACCTACCGTTTAATTTTAAATTTTGGACACCATTTAGATTTATTTGATACTCTTTATGTACCTTCTGTTTCTCGCAATTTGGTTTCTATTTTCTAAACTCGATTATGTTGGATATTCATTTAATTTTGGCAATGATTGTTTCACTTTATTAAAAATATATATATTAATATATTATTATTTTTATATATTTTTAAAATATTAAAAATTGATTATTTTTTATATTATAAAATAATTGTAAACCATATTTTTGTTGAATTATAAATATATATCAAATAATTTTAACCAAAAAGTGAAAATAATAATAAGTATGACCTGATTATATTGAAAATATGGTCGTGAACATGACCTAGAACATGGTTGTGTTGAGAACATGACAGGAATATAGCCTAGAGCATGGTTGTGTTGAGAACATGGGTAGGAACATGGGCAGGAACATGGTTGTGTTCAGAACACGGGCATGAACACGGCCGTGTTCAGAAGTGCAGGGTAATCAACACGGCCGTGTTGGCTGCCTGGGACGCCCAGTCACCTTCTGAGTCTTCCAACACGGTTGTGTTTCAGTCCCAGTCAACCATCTTGGGACTAAGATTGATAAATTTTCATTTGAGTGGGATCAAAATTAATAATTTTTTTAAATGGGACCAAAATTGATAATTATATGAATATGACAAATTATTTTGCCCTATATTAATTTACTTCTACATCCGTCACCAGCCTGACTCCTTTTTTGTTATTTTATTATTATTAATTTTAATTGGTGAATCCACGATAAAAAACAATATATATATGACAAAACGTGGCGAACAACTTTTGTGCCAAATGTATATAATATACGATACGAACTCCGAAGAATCCTAAACAAAAAAAACATTGCATTGAAATCATACGCCACCCTCCCATCCCACAATTCTTGACTTTTTAACTGTTTTTTAACCTTTTTTTTACTAAATCATCCAAAGATGCCACTTTCAAGATTTTCATTTTCTACTACACAACATATTAATACACAACTTCTGCTTCAAAGGAATTAAATAAGCAAGTAACTGTGTGGCATAAATAAATATTAAACCTACAAATCATAAACAAACAACAAATTTCATAAAAAATTTAACAATACTTCAAATCAGTTTAGGCGTAGTAATGAATTTCACAGATCCACTTAATAACCCAACAATACTTCTCATAAATATCCAAACAAAAATAAATATTTAACAATAATCCAATAAACCTAGCTACCTCCAAAATCAAAACAATAAAAACCATAATATATGTAAGTATTGAAATTGAGAATGAAATTGAAGAAAGAATGAGAGAAATTATTTCAGTTCATCGAAAAAACTAAAAGGTAGAGATAAGTGAAGATCCTTTTATATTAGATCTTCACACTACATGTATGCGCGAATCTGGTCCATTTATTCTAAAATTAAATCCAGGCTGTACAAAACAATAAAAAACAAACCTCAAGACCCCTTCTCAAGATGGACCCTATGTAAATCGACAAGGCCCATCTTGGACAACAACAAAGCAAAGCGTGGACCGGCCAAGCTTTTAGTGAAGAGATCTGAGAGCTGAAGAGATGTGGAGATATAGACCGGAAACAGAAAACCAGACTTGAAGAGATCACGGACGTGGTGACAATCCAATTCAATGTGCTTTGTTCGCTCATGATAGACTGGATTCTTGGTTATCTGAATAGCTGCAACATTGTCAGAGTGAATAGAAATGGGAAGAGGAATTTGGAGATGAAGATCATGGAAAAGATAGGATAGCCACTATAATTCCTTAGCAATGGAACTGAGCACACGATACTCTGATTCAGCGGAGGATAAGGCAACGGTGGTTTGTCTCTTACTACGCCAAGATATAAGAGAAGCTCCCATGAAAATACAAAATCCAGTTATGGACTTTCGAGTAATCTTGCATGTCCCCCAATCAGCATCTGAATATCCCATAAGAGAAATAGGAGTATCAACTGAGAAAAATAGCCCAAGAGATGAACTCCCTTTCAAATACCGAAGAACATGCAAAGCACATTCCTAATGCACTTGTCTAGGTGATCCAACAAACTGACTTAGCTGTTGTGTGGCAAATGCTAAGTCAGGACGAGTGAAATTGAGGTATAAAAGCTGACCAACCAATCGTCGAAAGGGAAGGCAATCATCCAAGAGTGATGATGTATCATCATACAATAATAAACTGGGAGGAATAGGTGTAGATGCAGGTCTGCATCCCAGTAAACCAAAACGATCAAGGATGTCTAAGATGTACTTTCTCTGACATACATATGCACCATCTGTGCCTCGAGCAATTTCCATTCCTAGAAAATAACGAGCTTGACCAAGATCTTTAATAGTGAACTGATCATGCAAGAAAGTCTTGAGCAGAACAAGATCTTGTTCAACTGAGCCAAAGATGAGAACATCATCTACATATACCAATAAGCACATGAAATTAGAGTCAACACCTTTAATAAACAAACATGAATTATAAGTTGATTGAGTGAAGCCAAAAGCAAACAGAGCTTTGCAAAACTCCACATTCCACTCTCTAGATGCTTGCTTTAATCCATACAAACTCTTGATCAACTTACAGACTTGGCCCTTTGAAGCTTTATGATATCCTTGAGGATGAGACATATAGATCTCATCTGTTAAGTGACAATGGAGAAAAACATTATTAATGTCAATCTAATGGATAAACCAATCCATAACAACTGCAATAGAAAGAAGAAGACTGACAGACACCAGCTTAGCAACTGGAGAAAACATCTCCTCATAGTCAATACCATATTCTTTCTTATACCCTTTAGCAACTAATCAAGCTTTCAATTTTTCCACAGTACCATCAGGATTTACCTTCACTTTGTATACCCATTTGGAACCAATAGGATTCTTACCAGCAGGCAGATCTGTTAGAACCCAGGTTCCATTTGTTTCAAGGGCAGCAAGCTCTACATTAATTGCTTCTATCCATTCGGGAGATAAACTTGCCTCTGTGTAGGACTGAGGCTCTTTAAAATCATTGATCTGAACCAGAAAGGTGGTGAATTCTGGTGTAAATAATGGAGATGTGATAAAAGGAAATGTCAAAGGAGTAACAATATGAGTAGAAGGTGTTACTGTAGATGGAAACTGTGCAAACATACTGTAACAAAATCCTACATCCAACTAGGGGGCTTGACTGCTCTCTTCCCCTTGTTGACAACAATGCAAGATGGTAAAGGTTCTGAAATCACAGGAGATGACTAAGCATCAGTATCATTATCAATGCTGCTGTCAAGATCTGATATAGATAAGGGTGATGATGATTGTTCATTCAAAATAATAGAAGTTGGATAATGAGAATCAGGTATAGGTGAAGAAGGAAAATAATCTAAATTATTGGATGATATTAAAGGATCAAATGCATCAGTAACAGGAACTGATGCAACTGGAATCAAATTAGAATCTGGCACCGAGAAAGGATATATAGTATCAAAACATTTGATATCTCTGGCAACAAACACTTTCTCACCTTCAAGATCAAACAGAGAATATCCTTTATGTACAAGTACAACTCCCAGCATTATGCATGTGATCGATCTGCTATCAAATTTCTTTCTTCCAGGAGAAATATCCACAACATAGACCAAGCTACTAAAAGGATGATACTCTTGAATATCAGGTTATGTACTATATAGAACCTCAAAAGGACTCTTCCAATGAAGAAGAGCACTAGGCAATCTATTAATTAGCCATGTGGCAGAAAGAATGGAATAGGACCAAAACTTCATGAGAAGTTTGCTCTGAAACATAAGAGCTCTAGCTACTTCCAATAGAGTCCTATGCTTTCTTTCAACCAAACCATTTTGTTGTGGGTTGTAAGAACAAGATCTCTGATGTAAAATTCTTGTTCAGAAAGCATAGCAGAAACATTATGATTCACAAATTCTGAACCATTATCACTTCTAATACATTTAATAGTGCATCCAAATTGAGTTTTCACCATTTGCATGAATTGTTTAAGAATTCCATGAACTTGTTGTTTGGAATTCATCAAGAATGTCCAAGTACACCTACTAAAATCCTCCACAACAGTAAGTATATATGGAGTATTAGTAAGATTGTTAGCATGATAGGGTCCCCAGGTATCAAGATGTATCATATCAAAAGCCTTCATTGCTCTATGTTGTTTGAGATGAAAGGGGTTTCTGCATTGCTTGGCCTTATGACACACAATACAAGCCTTAATCACTTTCTTTTCTTCATCTGTGATAAGCTGTTGGACTATCTCCATATGCTGAAGAGTGGTGAGAGAGGCATGTCCAAGAATTTTATGCCAATCCAGAGCACTTCTTGTGGCTAGATCTTGTACTGAGTTAACTTTCTTGTCAACACACGAATCTATAATATACAATATTCCCTTTGCTTTGGCAATTCCCATAACAGCATCTCCATGTCTTCTCTGAATGAGATGTGAATCAATAAAAGTACATTTGATATTGTTGTCTCTAGTTAACTGAGCAACATAGACCAAATTATGAGTGAAATTAGGAGCCAATAACACTCTCTTCAATACCAAATTTGGAGTTAGAATAACTTTCCACAATACTTGATGACCTGTGTTGAACCATCTGGTAAGAACACTTGTTGAATTCCATCAAGTGCTTGCATCTCTGCCAACATTTCAGCATTGCAACAAACATGAGTACTAGCTCCTAAATCAATTATCCACTCTTGTTCTGATTTATTTTGTGTAATTCCAAAAGCAAAATGGCCACCTGCACTTGTAAATGGATCAGATTGAGAGTTGATGAGATTCACTTTCCCATCTTGTGATTCTGACTTACTTCCTTGATTGAACTTCATGAAGAATTTCTGGAATTGCTCTTTAAAAACCTGTTCCATAGTCTGAATGTTGTTATCTGCAACTACTTCTTTTCTGTGATTCACATTCAATGCTTGTTGTCTACTCTTCATATACTCTTTATACTTCTTGTACCACTCAGGAATACCATGGAGTTTGAAACACTCAGTAATATCATGTCCATTTTCATTACAATGAGTATATTTAAGCTTTCTCCTTTCTTCTCTTGATAACTTTGGTCTAAAACCTACTCCTTGAGGTTTAGAAAATCTCTGATTCCTCACATTTATAGCAGATTCAGTATTATGATTGACCTAGTTAGACACTCTTCTCTGATCCTCATCTTGTAGGATCATTGAATAAACCTTGCTGATATTTGGTAACGGATCCATCAAAAGGATCTGACCTCGAACATTATCAAAGCATTCATTCAAACCTAGCAAAAATTGATTCACTTTTTTTTCTCTCAGCCACACTCTTATTTGTTTCATTTGCTTCATAGGTACAATTAGCATGGGGAATCAACAGGCTCATTTCATCCCAAATAGCATTCAAATTATTGAAATAGTTCATAACAGATAAGTTGTTTTGAACACACAACATCAGTTCTCTTTCTAGCTGGAAAATCTTAGGACCACTGCTACGATCAAAGCGGTTATTGATTTCTTCCCAAAGCCTTCTAGAATCGTCTATAGTATTGAAAAGCATTAGCTAACTCCTTAGTCATGGAATTAACAATCCAAGTTCCAACCAGAAAATTTGCCTTTAACCAAGCACTATAATACTCAGATTCAGGTTATGGTTCAAGTGATTCTCCTTCAATTAGCTCTAGGTTATTCCTTTTTTCTAAAGCACGACGAATAGATCTCTTCTAGGTAAAGAAGTTGTTACCTGTGAAAGGAACAGCAACAATTTGTATTCCAGCATGATCGTTGGGATGCATGTATAGCAGATCCTCCATCTTTTTCTTGTAGTTGAGAGCACGTTGAGCCGCGATCTTCAGATGATCCTCTTCAACTGGAGTTTTACCAGATCTCGATGATTCAGGTTGCTCATCCTGAAACAATGCATTCCAAGCAGGTTTTCGATTCTTCTGCATTATGAATTGGATTATCAATCAATCAGCAAATAGATTGAATTAATTGATGAAGATAATCGGATCTTCAAACTGCTCTGATACCATATTGAAAATTGAGAATGGAATTAAAGAAAGAATGAGAGAAAGTATATTTCATTTCATAGAAAAAACTAGAACACAGAGATAAGTGAGGATCCTTTTATATTAGATCATCACGCTACATGTATGTGCGAATCTGGGCCATTTATTCTAAAATTAAATCCAGACCGTACAAAACATTAACAAACAAACCTCAAGAGTAAGGACTTCAATGATTCGTCCATTGACAATGCTGAAATGTTATATCAAATTAGTATCTTACATCAATTGAATAAAAGAATCCATGTTCTGTATTTTGAATTTTGAGGTTTATATCTTATTTATATCAACAGAGCTTACTTATCAGTCCATTTGTAGATGCGAGTATTTGTATACTAGATTACACTACATATTGACTCATAATCTCATATATATTTTCACTATAGCGGCATATTGCATTATAACACACTTATTATGCTCGTGGCTGAATAAATAAATACTTTTTAACAATAATTCAACAAACTTACCCCCAAAATCAAAACAATAGAAACCATAATTTATAAACTCAATGTAAAAATAAATCCTACATTACAAACATGAACAAAAATTTGTATTAATAACATATATATATAAATGAATTCCCAATAAAATATACTCCCTCCGTCCCAAATACCATGTTCACGTTGTCGTTTTTGTCCGTCCCACATACCATGTCACTTTCCTTTTTTGAAAAATGATTACACACTTTAATCTCATTTTAAATTTTTTAATTTTTTTTTTTAATTTTAATTAAACTAATTAGTTATCTTAATCTTAATTTATAATTATTTATATTATAAGGATAATTATTTTCACTAATACATTCTTAATTATCTACTAATTATACCCCTCAAAATACCGTGTCTACAGTGTAGCAGACACGGTATCTGGGACGGAGGGAGTATATATAAAAAAAATTACCTTTCAATTGGAAAATGAGAAATTATCTAGAGGTGCAGTTGCGAGAAATTTGAAAACAAAAAAATAAATAAATGAAAATGAAAATACAATTTTTCAAGTCCTCACTTGTAAAGTATTTTTTTTTTTTTTTTTTTTGTTTTTTTCACTTTAATAAACTCTTTGAAACAACTTATTTACCAAATAATTTAATTAGAGGTTTAACCGGTCAAACAACTACAATTATTCAATAAGATAACAGCTTGTTCAATAGTTGTTTACCCAACAACCCCTAAATACGTTAACACAATACAACTATATACTTTTATTTAACACAATACATGCTACGTCAAATTGACAATGTGTTAATAGGAAAAACAGTATGATGTTAGTTTTCCTATGCAGCATCCTAATACATCTAAATATATATACTCTATCTACTTAAAAAAAATATCAAAAAATCAATTAAAACTATTTTTTTGTATTATCAATATATTTATCTATATCTAATATATATATATAAAAAAAAAAAACTATATGGGTAAATTATATACATCTTATATTTTAGTAAAAATGCACAAAACAAATCTTTATTTTATTTATTGCGTGAAACTCCCTTGTGTTAATGTAAAGTTTGCACGAAATACCCTCTTTGCCCAAAATTGATGTTTGGTTCTAAATAAAGACCTAAATTACACAAGTTTTATAAATAAAAAAAAAACGTAAATTATCTTAAATAATTTTTTTGAATAAAATAAATAAATAAATAATTAAGATCAATTATTATCTGATTTTTACAAAAACTATAAAAATAAATAATTGATCAATTATTTATTCATTTATTTTATTAAAAAATTATTTAAAATATTTTACACTTTTTATTTGTATAAAAATTGCGTAAATTTAGGTTTTTATTTAGAACTAAACATCAGTTGGACAATTAGGGTGTTTCGTGGAAATTTTACATTAACACAAGAAGATTTCAAGTAATAAATAAAACTCAGGGTGTTTTGTGTATTTAACTAAAACACAAAGGATGTTATATAATTACTTTTTAATAAAAGTATAAAAAATTAAAAAAAAAAAAAAAAAAAATCTTTAGTTCTAAACATAGGCTGCTGATCACCTGTTTGATGTGTGCATCCATCAACAGCGTGCTTATCAATTAGCTCGGCTTATGAGAAAAAATGACCTAGATCACATATGGGTATAATTGTCTTTTTCATATAATACGTTCTATCATAGGATTTTTCTTCATTTCATTGTGTTCAACTAGTCAAAATAGGGGAGGAATTTCATCATCCTGAAGCCTTCGTGAACAAAATTCAATTGCATTCAACTTGTAAGTCAATAGAGGAAACTTCTTCTTCTTGAACCGATCGTGACAAGAAAAAAGGAAAAAAAAAAACCTCATCCTGTTCAAGTCCCTAGTCTGGGGACGGAACAATTTGTCTCAAACCCGCCCTCAAGAGAAATCAAAATTGAAGAAGTATTTTGCGTTCGAAAGATCCTATTATTTAGTTTTCACATGCTTCGAGGAAACTCGTGCAGTTGAGTGAGTTCTCATTCCATTCTTCCGGTGAGAATTTTCAATCGTTTATTCACTCTTAGTTGTTTGAAAGGCCTTCTTTTATGTAAAATCAATGGTTGTCTATGTGGCTCCTATTATGAGTTTATTAAATTTCTGAAATCCAAACTGTTATGTAAATGTGAATGTCCAAATTTTTTATATTTTCTAATATGACTATGAGTATATAATCACGTGTGCTTAATATTTTAATTGAAAATATTTATTGTTCACTTTTTATTTAATGATATGCTCTTTATTGTAGTAGTATATGGTTCAAGTTGAAATTGAATATGATTTTGCTCAGAGAAGTGAAAATGAATTGGTTAATGACTTGAAGCATCAGTTCAAGGTAGAATGTTTCAAAGATGATTGGATTGAATTCTTGAAGGCTGACAATGTTTTTATTGTATATAAAAAATGAGGAGTTTTGATAGTTGAGATGATGATTTAGTATAATCTGAAATGTTGATATGGTTATATTGTATGTTGTTATAGTATGTTTCCTATTTTTTTCATTCGGACTGGGTTCTATTTTCTATCTCCGTTATACGTAAGAAAATATATACTTCAATAGCCTAAATGATGTAGATGAATGGACAAAAGTTTTATTGTCCTTTAAGAGACAGTTTAGGTATTTTCAAATTGCTACAAAAAAGGTTTTTAGACCCACGGTGAGACGTTGAATATTCAGTTGAGGTGCATCCACATATGAAAGACCTGGATATCCACAATTGTGGAATCTTCTATATGTTTTACATAGCATATTGGCCACTTGAATTGACTAGAAGCGTATGTAAACAACTTGGTAAATATGAGATTTTAATTACAATTAGAAATAAATTGTATGTCCAAAATTGGCTTCAGGAGGAGAATCAAAAGATTGATTATTTCATGTCATAAAAGTACTCTAAGTTAAATTCAATTTAACAACTAGTATAAAATATGTCAATAAAGTAAAACGGGTATAAGAGTAATTTTCACATTACCCTACTTTATACAACCGCTTCTGTCTCCTTCCTCATTCTTCCTCGCGTATGTTCAACATCACGCAAAAAAAAATAGAGCAGAATCTTCCAACAAAATTAATGGATAAGATCGATACAGACGAGCAAAATCTATGTCATTATTCCAACATCAATCAATCACTCAAAAAGCAACGGAGACATCGAAAAAATTGGAGTTTCAGATACTTCATCTCTTTTGCTCAATAACATGATTGTTTTCATAATTTTTCGAGATCTTGAGAGCAGCCAAACTATTAGAATCGAGTTTGCATCTGTTAAGAATCTGAATAATACGTATTACCGATCGTTTTTGTATAAAAAATCTAAATTATTGTTGATTAAAATAAATGAGCATTACGTTCGGTTGAATTTAGCATTTACGTGTGTATGATAAGCATTTCATATTTTATCATACAATCCGATATAAAACTCAACATTCTCTAAAATGTGTGACATCATTTTAATATTCAATAGAGAATATATTGTTGATAAAGTATGCACCTAATAGGAGTTTGCACTCAAGATTAAGATCCATAAAAAATTCAGCATTCATTATTGTATAAAAATACTCAAATTATTCTTAATTAAAATAAATTGGCATCTTGTTCAGTTAAATTTAGCATTTGCGTGTGCATGGGGATAGTTTCATACTATATTATACAGTCCGATACAAAATTCAATATTTTCTAAAATGTGTGACAATATTTTATTATTCAATAGGCAATACACTACCCGAAAAAGAGGCGTCCCAGCGCCAAAACCGTACCATTTATGCTTAAATGACGCGGTCATTGACACAGTTCCAATCCGTGGCTAAATCACGGTGCCAACAGTTTAGCAACGGTTTCCAAACCAAAATATTAAATACATGGTGCCACTTTCCGAACCATAAATAAAAGAAAGACACACAATGGGGTGCCATTTCTAATAATAAAAAAATAATCATAGGCACCGAAAATGGTCTCAAACATAATTAATAATAAATAAATTATATTTCATCACGGATTGCAGTGCCATTATAAAATAAAATAAATAAATGAAAATATTTTGACGCCAAAAACGGCGCCAAAAAAGAATAAATAATATAATATATTAGCGCCGAAAACGGCATCAAAAAGTAAATTATAAATAAATAATAAATATATTGGCATTGAGAGTGGCACCTATGAATAATATTTTTTTTTTTTTCTTCTAAACCTGAATGGACAATAAAAATTGGTAGTTACGGCTATGCTTGACATATATATATATGTTACTAGACAAGCTGGCATACGATTGTGTAATTCTTTGTTAGCGTTTGTGTGTGAGCAAAGATGATTATGAAAATTTAAAATCAATTTTTTTGTGTGTGTTAATGATAAGTACGAAAAGTTCATACAACTATACAAGTACATAAAAGAAAAATAAATAAATAAGTAAAGTGTAAAAGCACCTTTACAATGCAATTGGATACCCATGGGCAATGATGATCTAATTGCTCAACACAACCGTCTCGGAGGTAGAACAGTGCTTCGTAAGGAGTGGCCGAACAACCTGATATTGCAAACTTCTTATTTACAAAGAAATACTAGAGAGGGAACTTTAATTTATACTCATAGCAAAGATATAAGGCATAGTAATAGTACCTTGCAAGTTGAGCACAGCTAAGCCCAAATCCCGGCAAGCAAAGCTGGATTATTAATATGAGCTTTCAGCAATGGCTCCTAGACAATACCCATGAAAGATTAAGCAACAACAAGAAGATCTCGATGACCTATTTAACCAATAACAGGTACAAACTTACACGATAATTCATGTTGTCTGAATCATGTATGTTTCCCATGATATATCCGGGATCCTTGATACAAATACAAAATAATTGCTACATAATTAGCTTGAGGACCAATCCAAGTACACACAATTAATTAAATCTTAGTGGTTAGCATGGGAGAACCAAACACTGGCAAATAAACTATCATGAAAAAAGGATTGTCCAAACAAGTTTTAGTTCCATGATTACATAAACGCAACAATATTTACAAACATTATTAAAGTGAAAGCATAATAAAGGCATGGATATTAGTGTTGCCAATAACAAGAAAAATGTCTAAGTTAACATGGTTTGCCTTGATGATACGAATCAGGCAACTGAAAGCAACAAATGAGAATTAATCTTATTGCATATTTCACACTTTTAATCATTGTGCAATTATTTTGCTCGTGTCAGATTGACCCAATAAAACAATATCTATCAGCCAAGAAACAACCCCTTCACCCAAAAAGATATAAAATAAAAAAAAAAAAATATCTCGCTCTGTCTCTCTCTATATATGTGTCTGTGTTTGTGAGAGTGAGGTACCTGCTACATCTATGAAAGAGAATTAATCCACCTGATGCTAAAAACACTCCAAACCATGCAAAAAGACCAAAATTGGCTGTTAACCGTGGCAAATTTGAAGCTGCATCAAAGAACAAATTATGTGAGCATATCATGTTTCAGCTAGAGAAACAGTCAAAGGCAAAAATAAATATCAGAAGCACCTGTGATAACAGAATTTATATATGTCACAAGTAGGAGTAAGATTACACCCAAGAGCACGGAGCAAATCCTACTTTCAAAAGTTTGACAATCAAGCTCTTGTTATCCCACATTCCCACTACCTATCATACAGCCTTCTAGCATTTCCCTGCAAATAGCATTCGCACCACAGTCACTTAAAAAAACAGAAATCAGTGAAGAATTCTAAATATACTACTATATATAGATAGAAAAGCTACCAAATACAATCAACCTGTGTATAATGCATATCTGAAACCAGCGATGAGTAAATGCACAAAATAAAATAGACAGCATACTGAAGATTACTATTTGCTCAGATACCAATAACTTCAAAATATTTTAGGCAAGACAAGGAAAATAGGGCTTCCTACAAGGAAATTCTCCTTTCTGCAAATATATCTGAACTTGGCGAACAACAACCATCCTTCCAAATTTCCGACCACAAGTTGAGCATCGGAGCGCGAACAGAGCCAGAGATTCGATTTACAGAGAGAAAAAAAAAAATGAAATTAGGGCTTCCTAAAAATGAGTATTATTTGATCGAATAATTTTTGCATTTAAAAAATACTAGCTCCTTCCAATATACCGTGTCTGATATACTGTCGATACCACCAGGTATAATTAATAGATAATTTAAAATATAAAAATGAAAATAATTATCCTATAATATAAATAATTATAAATTAAGATTAAAATAATTAATTAGTTTAATTAAAATTTAAAAAAAAATTAAAAAGTTTAAAATGAAATTAATGTGTATAATCATTTTCAAAAAAAAAAAATCACATGATACGTGGGACGGACAGAAACGGCAACGTGAACATGGTATGTGGAACGAAAGGAGTAATTTATAATAGAGGCTAGACACGAACTACCGAGTATTTTTTATTTTACAAATTAATTTTAAAATTGAGTCGCAGTGCAGTAATTCGTGCTTTTTTTTCTTTTAACAAATAATTTATAGTAGAGACGCAATATGTCGCGCTTTTATTTTTATTTTTTAAAAATAACATATAACAAAGGCACGACTATTAGCGTCTCTATTTTGTATTTAAAAAATTAATTTATAATTCACATGTCTTAATTTAAAATTATTTTTAGAGATTAGGCTATTTAAAAATAATTTATCAATTTTGATCGCAATATAAAAAATTCATTAATTTTAGTTCCAATATAAATAATTTCAATCAATTTTGATTTCATTATAAACAATTTCAATCAATTTTGGTCTTATCGTTAAAAAACTAACAGAAATTGCTAACGTGGACGTAATGGAATTGGCGTGACAGCTGACTTGGAAACTACACGACCATGTACAATTATACACGGCCATGTTGTTACATGGTCATATATATTTCAATGTATAATTATACACGGTCATGTTGTTACATAGTCACGTACAATTCTACACGGCCATGTTGTTACATGGTCATGTATATTTCAATATATAATTATACATGACTATGTTATTACACGGCCATATATAATTCTACACGGCCGTATATATTTATGTTTCGGTCTAAAATTTTATTTTTTGTTATATTTTTAAATTTTTTTTTTAAAATTTAGAATAGTTGATATAGTTAAAATGGAAAAAAAAAAAAAACAATAATAATCATAATATAATTAAAATGTATCAATTTTAGTTCAAATATAAATATTTATCGAGTATGTTTTTTTGGAAGATTATGTCTAAAATTTTACTATTTACCATAAAAAAATATTTTGTTACAAGCATTCGATTACTATATTAAAATAATAAATTAATTTTTAATACTACTATAATATACAAAATTTAAAAATAGTTGTGTAATTGGATATTTGTAAGAGAATTTTTTTTTATGAATAATAAAATTTTTGACAAAACCTTTCAAAAGAGTATATCTTATAAATTTTTATATTTGATTAAAATTGATAAATTTTAATTATATTATGATTACTATTGATTTTGTCCATTTTAACTATATCAGCTATTTTAAATTCAAAATATTTTTTTAAAAAAAAATATAACAAAAAAAAATTTAGACTAAAACAGAAATGTACACGGCCGTGTAAAATTATACATAGTCGTGTAACAACATAGTCATGTATAATTATACACTGAAATATACATGGTCGTATATAATTGTACATGGCCGTGTACTTCCCAGGTCAACCGTCGCGTTACCTCCGTTATGTCCACGTCAAAAATTTCCGTTAATTTTTTAATAGTAGGACCAAAATTAATTGAAATTATTTATAATATGACCAAAATTGATTGAAATTGTTTATAAGATGACCAAAATTAATTGAAATTGTTAATAATATGACCAAAATTGATGAATTTTTTTTTATATTATGACCAAAATTGATAAATTTTAGTTATATTTGGACCAAAATTGATTTTTTTCCCTAAAATTAATTTACAGTTCACGCTTTTTATTTTAAAATTACTTTTATAGTTGAGGCCCGGTTGTATGCGCCTCTATTTTTCATTTTTAATAAATAATTTATAACAAAGCGTGGTAGTAAGCGCCTCTTTTTTTTAAATAATAATAATAATAATAATTGATAGGAGAGGCGCGGACAATCGCACATCTATTTTTATTTAAAAATAATAATTTATAATAGAAGCGCAGTTGTCTTTACTTCTAATTTTTTACTTAAAAATAAGAATTTATAACAATGGTGCAGTTGTCCATACCTCTATTTTTTATTTAAAATTTTAAATATAGTTCACACCTTTTATTTTAAAATTATTTTTATAGTTGAGGCGCAGCTATTCGCACTTCATTTTTATTTTTAATAATTTATAAGGGAGGCGCAAATAACTGCACCTCTATTTTTATTTAGAGGGTATTTGGAAAACATTTTTTTTTAAGAGCTTTTAGTTTATTGAACAATTTTAACTGTTTGACCAGTTAAAAAGCTAATTTAGGTGTTTGGTAAATTAGCTTTTTGAAAAAAAAAAAATTTGGACCCGAAAAGCTAATTTCTGAAAAGCTCATCTACCCTTGCAACTTAATTTTGGTTATTCTTTATTTACCCTTACAACTTAATTATTTATTTTATACATATAAATATATTTTTATAGCAGTATTTATTAATTATTTTTAATATATTTAATTTATTAAATTATATTTTTATTTTTTTTAAATTTAAAATAATTACTATTATTAATTATTATATATAAATTAATTTTATTTGTAAAATATATAAATTTTTAAAACTAAATCAAATAGAAAAAATAAAGGTTATTAATTTATTTATATATATTAAAACAATCATTAACATAATAAAAATATATATACAAAAGATTTATTATTTTATATTTATATAATTTCAATAAAAATTATAATGTTTTAGTAAAATTAATTTTCTCATATCTAAATAATAAAAATAAAAATAAATATTTTATAATATTATTATAATTTTCAATAATTAATAACAAAAATTCTCATAAATTTCAAATCAAAATGAACAAAATTAAATATTTTAAAAAATAACATATCAATGTCCTTAATAGTCATTTTATGTATAAACAGCAATATCAAACAGTTGTTTTACCAAATACTTTTAATACAAACCGCTAATTGAATCAGCTAGTCAAACCAGCTAATTGAATCAGCTAACAACTAACAACTAACAGCTAATTGAATCAGCTCATAACTAAAAGCTATCAACTAATTGTCAAACGCACCATTAATAAAATATTTTAACAGTGGCCGGCGCTTTTTATTTTTTAAAATAATTTATCAGGGTGTGTAAAATGGCGCCTATTTTGAAATAATTATTATTTTATTTTATAAAAAAATAATAAGGCGCAGTATTGTGTGTCAAATTCTTTGTTAATATTATTTTGATGTGGATTTGGTTACTTTGTGCTCCCGCGCCATGCCGCATCCGTTCCATTTGCTTTTTTTGGGTAGTGATATATTGTTTGATATTTTTCATCATCTAATATAATATGATCCATTTATTCACATACAATCGAATTCACAAAATCAAATGATGTTTATAATTTCTATGATTAGTATGTATATAATAGGGGTTTATAGTTAGGATTAAGATTAGAAAAAATTCTACACTCATTGTTGTATAAAAATACTCAGATTATTGTTAATAAAAATAAAGCAACATTTTGTTTTATTGATTTCACCATTTATATGTGCATGGGGATCATCTTATACATATTATTCAGCACAACATCAATTGTTGACGCAGACTTTCCCACTACTCTTCCGATCACCATCACCACCCTTCTTCCACCATCGTCGCCGCCTTTCGCTCAATCCTCTCATACTACTAGAATAATAAAGTTGTCATCTATCATCACGTTGCTCAACACCAATGATCTGCCATCCACCATCATTCCTTTTTCACTCATCAACCAAACCTACAAACTCTCTTGGAGAATGGAGATCACCATCTGGACAGCGGCGGCGGCGTCAACAATATCGGCAACGATGGTGGTAGGGACAACAACAGTGGCATGAACAATAACATGAAGATGCTGCAAATAATTGCACTAGGAGACAGCTGAATTGGACAAAATAAATTAGAAGAAAAGACAATCTAATACTTATTTAACCTACTCTGTTGATTTCATATCAAATCCGATTAACAACTGAAATTGAACGAGCACTTTGCTAATGGGTGTTCCCATGAGAAGGAGATTTATTGCCTATTAATTATTATTATGTTTTCTTATAATGTTTTGTAAAATTATTATTCATTTATAAAATATTAAATTATATTGAAATTTTAAAAAATTGAATTAAATATTATATAAAGATTACATTTAAGTAGTTTATATAATATTTTAATTATAAAATTATATTTAAATAGTATTTGAGTATAATTATTAAAAAATAATACTCTCACCGTCTCATAACAAATAATATTTTTTTATTTTAGTCGGTCCATAACAAATAATATTTTTTTAAAAAAAAAAATTACTAATTCAAAATACACTTAACATTATAAATTGAATTAATTAATTTTATAACATATAACGTCATCAATCATGTAGAACCCACATAAGACACTTTTATATGTACCTCTTTTTTCAATAAGTAAATAATTTATCAACATTCCAAACTTTTCTTATTTTTTTATAAAATTACTTTATTGTTAATCTTTTTTTTTTTTTTTTTACTTTATTGTTAATCTTTCGATTGATGACATATGTCTTGGTGTATATACTTGTTCCGTGTTATTCTTCATACTATATGGTATACTTAGATTTGTTGCGCACAGAGGACGACTGGTCTAGGCCTCCGAACGGGCGGGGCCTAGGCATCGGACGTGTCAATTTCGGGCATATTACGTATGATACCAGAGCGGACTTTGACGATGATGGTGATCAAAGCGAACGAGTTGAGTATGCTCTGCAGGAGAGCATGCCAGTGGCACATCAGAGTTTATCATGTCCTAATGGAGCTGGACATTTCAAAAGTGAGTGCTCTTTGAGGAGGGAATACGCTCAATGGTGCCGGTAAGCTAGGGTGGCTGAACTTTGTTTGTGA